CTTGGAAACTATCAAAACGGGCAAAAAATCGACGACGATGTGATCAATGTGTGTCGCAAAATTTTCCCATTAAGCTGATATTCTTTTCTACGGATGGACAGCACAGATCGCGCAAAGTGAATACAATAGCCTGCTGGAGCATAACCGCTACTCTCCGCAAGTGGGCCTAAAAATGTTTTCGTGAGAAAATTAGATGTTGTTCACAATAAACTGCTGATATGAGCTGTCCTAATTCTGGGACCACGCCACTTTCTGTCTGACTTTGGGCAATAAGATCTGACTTGAACAAGGATATTCGCGATAAAGATGTCGGACTCACAATGTGAGCAAAACAATTTGCTGTCCTGACTTAAGTTTATTATCTGGCTTAAAGGATCCCGACTTAGCGCAGTGAGTCTATTGTAAGAATAATGCTGACCTTCTGTTGGCACGTGAACATCTAATTCACGATGATCCAGCAAAGCTCTATAACGATAGTGTTATTACTACCGAGACAGTGGGTGCAGATCGCGCTTTCTGCAATACGCTGTTCTATTTATATTACCATTCCGAAGATTTTCACAACGAGATTTGCACGCGAGATCGGCCCGAACCTCGTCAACTAACTGCCTTTTGCTAGTTGCAAAGTGAAGTTCATAACACGCACACTGTGCACCTGTTTATATTACCCGTTCTTATTTGCGCGGGAAGTTACGGATAGTACCAATATCAAGCTTAGCTAGCTAACCTACAACACACCAATCTTTGTGTATCCAAATTTGAACCGTAGCCACAAGTATAAAAATGATAATTAGTGATTAGAGATCCAATAGGACATCTATCGAATATAGGTACAGGAATTATTTACTACGCCGACTCGTCACTAGTGACTCACTTGCTAAACATCCAGCCACGAAGCTCACAAAAACACGTCCGTTCGCACCAACTAACCTACCCCTTTCATCCAGTAGGCAGTACACCGATCGTGTCGGAATTAGATACAATAATGTAACCCAAACCCAGGATAGGGTTACAACGCGTCGCTATGGTTTTCTGTAGAGGAAATTCAGGAACCCTACTGACCGTGAATCACCTCAGGGCGGTTTGCTGGTGCGTTTCCAGATGACTAGAATCTTCAAACTGGTTTTATTTCTGCAACAACGAACCTTCTCTCGCTATCCTTGGAACTTACTATGCTATCACAATTACTCTGTATTAACTAATATAACCGTTACAAAAATTTGACAGTGTACGAGCGGCGAATTCATCTGAGGCGCCATTTCTGCGTTTGACATGTGACGTGTACTTCGGTTTGGAAAAGCGGATTCACGCTACAATCAGAAGGGCAGCCAGCGTTTGGGCCGATCGCTATGCGCATTGGGAATGCGTACGTCACACTGGGTCACAGAAATGGCGCTCGAAATTGATCCGCTGCTCGTCATTGTTCGAATTTTTTGTATAAAGCAGGTTATATTAGTTTAATAGCAGAGTCATTGTGGATTCCATAGTAAAGTTCCAAGGATAGTGGAGAAAGGTTTCGTAGTGAGATAATAAGCCAGTTTGGAAGTTCTAGTTCTCTGAAGAACGCCCACAGCCAACCTCGCCTGGAGTGATTCATCCAGGGATTCCCTGAATTTCCTCGCAGAGAAAACGTCATTTAGCGACGGCGTTATAACCCTATCTGGATTGGGGTCTACATTATTGTATCTAGTGTTCGGAAGATGGCGCACTGACGTAAACTGTATCACGCTGTC